CTGGGTGCGGGGGCGCAGTCCTGCAGGCGGTGACTGCTGTCGATGACAGGTGAGGCGGGCTGAGGCGGGCTGGGCGACAGGGCAGGCGTCGCGCGCCGGAATCTTAGACTTTCCTTGCGCAGACGCGGATGCGCACTGGACAGCCAATTATATTGCAAGGAAGGCCCGCGGAACCTGACGCCGCAGGTTAAGCTCCGCCCCCTCGAGGCTCCGCCCAGGAGGTGGGGTATCCGGCCGCCCAATGGCAGCTGCTGTGGCTGGTAGGTTCTTGCGGGGAAGTCCTTTACGGGCCTCTAGGGGGCAGACCAAGTGTGCCGCGTTGGTCTTGCTTCCCGCTTCCCGGGTCAAGTTGACCTCGGATGTAAAGCTGAAGACCAATGAAGGTTCACCCCTCTCAGCGCCACGCCAAAGCAGGACCCTGAGATTTAAGCCCCTCCCACAAGCCCCGCCCCGAAGTTCCCGGTGCTCTATTCTTGGTCCAGCAGTGTTGGGTGTTTGCGGTGTCACTCTGCACCTCTTCCCGTAAATGTGATATTTGATGTCTACGTCCTTTGTAGGGTGTCGGAAGGGGATAAAACTTACGTCACGTGTGACGAGAGGCGTCCCTGCATGGTCTGTTTATCTAAGTAGTCAGTGTACCATGCTAATTATTATGCTGCCATCAGCCAATATAGGCGAAAACAACCAACATCGACTTTGGAACTGTTTCACTATTATTGTTGTTGTTTTCCCTATTGTTAGACAGGATTGTGCATGCGTGAGAGAGGAAAGAGCCAAAGAGAGCGACAGAGACAGAGACAGAGAGAGACCCTTCATGGGACGTGGTCACGCAGCAATTTTTTTCTCCTCCATTTCTCCACCCTAAAAGGATTTTGCTTTGGCAGGCACATGTGTCAGGGGTGCTTTTCAAGTAGCAGGCGGGGTTTCAGCCTGGTTGTCTATGAGGGATCTGGCACTGGCCTGTCCTGGAATTGGTAATATTTTCAGATAGCTTTGGAGGAAATCAAAACTTTTTCTCTCATCCTTGTCCCTTAACCACAAGTTTCCTTATCCTGGAAGTAATCATTATTTATTGTTTATCATTCCATAATATTTTGTGCATTTAAGAGCAAATCTCATGCATATTATTAATTTTCCTTGCTTTTAAAAAATGTACTTTTTTTAGGGCCGCATAGCATTCCTTTGTATAGATTTTTAAATTTAAATCAGACCTCTCGATGGACATGTAAGCGGGTAGTTTGTGAATTGGCGATATTGGCATCGCCTTGGAGATTCGTGGAAAATGCAGATTCATCGCATCCCGAGGCCATTACCGGAATTCCTCGGAGAGCTCAAGTCTACCTGGGCTGCCTTAGCACTTTGCAGCGCACAAATGGCCCTCCTTCTCCAGATCAGCCCTTCAGGCTAGATTTCCGGTTTTTGTCTGCCCTGCGGAAGGCAAGGGGAGCGATGCAGCCCGAGGGCGCTGGCCGGAGGGCTGAGGAACCAGCACCTCTCCTTAGGGTCGCTCCTGACTGTGGTCCCCGCGGGCGCCCCCCTCTATCGAGTGTAGGTGCGGCTGAACCCGCAACGTGTCTCCTAGGTCGGAAGCGCAGGTTGAGCCGGCGACGTCCGGGCGAGGTTGGGTGCGGGTGGAGCTTGCAGGAAATGACCTGCTCCACCCTCCCCAAGTTCTGCCTACGATCCTAGAACGTTCCTCCCGCGGAGAACTGTGGGTGCTCCATTGAGGAGAGGGGACCGGTCTGGTGTGAGGGCAGGCTCAGGGCCAGAGCGCGCGAGCTGGGGGGGTCTTTGCTGTGCCTCCACCTTGAGCGAGGTGCGTTTGCCGCTCCTGCTCGCGGACCTCCGCGCTCGCCTGCGCGCCCATCTGTGTTCTGGGCCTGGTGGTTTCGCCCAGAAGTCTCCCTTTGAGCTCTTCTTCTGGGGGAATGTAAGCCTTTCCAGAATAGAAGCCGTTAGCAGAGGTAGACTAACACCTGTTTCCCTCTTTGCTTCTGCCACTTTCTTTTCTTAAAAAAAGGAAAAAAAAAAGGTTCCATGGGTCAGGCCTACTCGCAGGAGCTCGGTGGGGACGCGAGAAGCAGCCCCGATGGGGCGTGGTCGCGTAGCAATCCTTTCTCCGTTTCTCCATCTTACCGATTTGGGCGCATAGGCGCTTAGTGTGTTATTTAAGCTGCCAGGCCGGGATTCGAACGCCTTGGCCATGAGGAATCTGGCTCCCGTAACCACCAGATGGCCCTGACACTTTCTGATTGGTGATCACTGGCAAATCATTTGCCTCCCTGCTGCCTCCCCGCAAGCCTCAGTTTTCTTACATGTGAACCTCGGAGAATGCCATGTGCTGTGCAGGCCTGTTGTGAGTTAGTGTTTGTATAATGTTTCTGGAACATAAGAAATGCTTAGTAATTAGTAGCTATTTACTGTTGATTATATTTATGATGTATCTTTCCTACCTGACAGTGCCACCTTGTTCCCTAGCGTCATGTAGTAAGCGCTCAGTGACTTAGTTAAAAACTCATCATCATCGTCATTGGGGCCAGCGGGTGGCAAGGTGGTTAAGGTCCTGGAGTTTGCACATGGTCAACCACGGTTCGTGTCCCGGATGGATAGCTTGCTTTCTCTCTCTGTCTTTCTCTGGTAAAGTTCATGTGAAAAAAGTTAAATAATTAAAAATCATCATCATCATCATCATCATCATCATGCTAAACGAGGGTCTGATCTGTTAGCAAATACCCCTACAGGTGTTTTGTGACACCGTGTCTATGTGGTTTAGGAATGACTGTGCTGGCACCCAATCAGGTTTCCTGATCCTGCCTGAATTTACTTTCCTTTTAAGATGGCTCAGTGATTGTTGATTGCATTATCAGGCCCACTCATTGGGCTTCCTTGGTGCCACTTGATATATCCAACCAATCAACATGAAGTGCCTGAAATTTTGAGTATGCAAAATTAGTGGAAATGTCTTCCGGATCTGCCTAGGCTACCACAGTGAACCCAGGAGGGTCCCATTGGGTAAAGAAAGCTCAGAGAACTTGGGTACAAGAAGCTGGATGCAAGGTGGACTTGACTGAATAGGATTCAAGAGTTTTCTCCGCAGCAGAGGTGTGGAACTTGGAATCCTTATTGCTTCATCCCAGGTTCCGAAGTCCAGGCCCAGCACAGGGCTCTTGGCATTGGCCGTAATGAGAGCCATTGTTTTAGCTCCTATAATGCAAAGTAAGTGGCTTTAAATAAATTATTTTACTTATTTGTTTATTTATTATTTTTTCACATGAATTTTGCTAGAGAAAGAGAGGGAGGGAGAGTGAGAAAGCAAGCTGCCAGGTCTGGAATTGAACCATGGTCAGCCATGTGGGAATTCCAGCTCTCTAACCACTATGCCACCTGCTGGTTCCCATAAAAGACTACTTTTATGCATGCAAGTAATCATACCTAAATATATGGAAAAATAATCTGAATAATGTAAAGCAATAGTCTTCTCTAAACTTCCCACCCAACCCACAAAAACGGGGCTGGTTGGTGTGATAAGGTCATTTTCTATGGGTTTACAAATATAAATAGTGGATTTTTAATTTTTGGAGAGGTTTTTGCCATAGGGTGTGTGCACTTGCCAGATAGACAGAGACAGAGAGACAGAAAGTGAGAAATCACCCCCCAGAGGGTAGGGTCACGCTGCAATCCCTTCTCCTCTATTCTCCTCTCAGTATCTTGGGCATGGATGCACATGCGCCCGGTGTTGAGTTTAAGCCACTGGGTCCAGGACACGAACCCTGGTCGGCTACATGGGAGTCCAGCGACATAGCCATTATGCTAATTGCTGGTCCCTAAATAGTGCTTTTTTTGAAAAAAAATTTAGGGAGATTTTTGCTATAGGACCTGTGTGCTTGCCGGAGAGACAGAGACAGAGAGTGGGAAATCACACTCCAGGGGGGATGGCCACATAATCCCTTCGCCTCCATTCTCCTTTTGGGATCTTGGACATACAAACACATGTGCCTGGTATGAGGTTTTTTTTCTTTTTTTGGAGAGGTTTTTGCTATAGGGCGCATGTGCTCACCAGAGAGACAGAGAGGCAGAAAGTGAGAAATCATCTCCCAGGGGGGATGGCCACGCCACAATCCCTTCTCCTCCATTCTCTTTCCGGGATCTTGGGCACGCATGCACACGTGCCCGGCCTGAGTTTTAAGCCACTGGGTCCGAGACGCGAACCATGATTGACTACATGGGAGTCCAGAGACATAGTCATTATGCTAATTGCCGGTCCTGCGCCTGGTGTGAGTTTTAAGCCGCTGAGTTCTGGGTGGTGGACTACGTGGGAGTCCATCGATACAACCATTACACCACCTGCTGGTCCCTTTTTATTTTTATTTATTTATTTATTGGAGAGATTTTTGCTATAGGGCGTGTGCGCTCGCCAGACAGACAAAAAGAGAGACGTAGAGACAGAAAGTGAGAAATCACCCCCCAGGGGGATGGCCACGCTGCAATCCCTTCTCCATTCTCCTCTCGGGATCTTGGGCACACATGCACACACTCCCGGCGTGAATTTTAAGCCATCGGGTCCGGGACTCGAACCGTGGTCGACTACGTGGAAGTCCACTGACATAGCCATTACGCTAACTGCTGGTTCCTGCTTTTTATTTTTAATAAATAAAAAAGACTGTATTTATTTAGAAGCGTTCAGAATGTCAACAAATCAGCTGCACCTTTTTTTTTTTTTCCAATTACGGAGTGGTATTCAGTTAACAGAACAGCAGTTGCTTTTGTTTTCTTCATGAAGTTCTATGGGCATTTTTCCGTAAGGTGATAGAGTTTGCTGCTGTTTGGTATTGTTACCTGCAAAGTACATTATTGCTCCTGTCTTTTATTTAAGATACTTCTTCAGCATTCAATATTGGCTTCCACCAGGGGTCCTCAAAACATTCATAGAAAATGCGTATTATAAAAAGACTGTGCAGGGATTTCAAAAAATCTTTGGCATAAACTACATTAATTCCATTTTTGCTATGAATGTTTTGAAGTCCCTGTGTATGTCTGGTCTAAACATTTTGTTTACATATAAGAAAAGGAAACTTCAAATATGTCTTGTACAGCTACTTATTTGCCTTTTTCTGGAAAAGAATGATGGAAGTGACTCATTCTCTTTATGCGTATCTTACAGTTATTCTGGTTTATTATGCTGTGCCGTCTTTACAAACTTCCTGAGCACGTAACGGGTGGGAGTGAATGTAATTGTCTTACTGATGCTATTAGAGAGATTTGCTGTGATGGTGGCCCATGCAGTCATAAAATCATTAATCCTTTACTATTTTAAGGTGGCAAAAATTGACATTAGTAATTTGGCTTTTGGCCCTTAAAAGTTGAGGCTAAAGCTGTAACCAAATAGCAGACTTTTACCAAATACTAGGACTGAAGTTACATCATAGAACTTTACTGTTACAGTAAAAGTCAGTGATTTCTATATGTTAATTTTATCTTCAGTTTTCCTATGGAATCCTATGAGTTTTTTCCAGTTATTTTCTAGGTTTTTGCAATCATATGGTCTGCAATGGACCTATTTTCCCTCCTTTTGAAATTCTATACCATGGTTTCTTTCTCATGTCTAATTCTGTTGTCTAGTACCTCTAGAACAATGTTAAATAACAGAGGGGAAGTGGCATCTTTTTTTGTTCTAGGCTTTGGTGAAGGTGCTGCTTAGTTTTGCCCGTTAAGCATGGTACTGGCTGTTGCTCAGAAGAATGTCGTTTAAGAAGTATTGATCTTAGGCCAGCAGATGGTGTAATGGTAACATCTCTGGACTCCCACATAGTCGACTGTGGGGCAGCTTACCACTCACCGGGCGCATGTGCATGAGTGCCCAAGATCCCAAGAGGAGAATAGAGGGTAAGGGACTGTGGTGTGGCCATCCCTCTTGGGGGGTATTTTCTCATTTTCCATCTCTCTCTCTCTGTCTTGCCAGTGAGTGCACAGGCCCTGTAGTAAAAATCTCTCTTAAAAGAATAGAGAAGTATTGATCTCTTTGTGTTTTATTGAATTTTAATGTTTTATTTTGAAATAATTCTAAATTTACAGAAATGTTGCAAGAATGATACAAAGAACCGCTGCCATGTATCTTTTATTATTGAAATTTTTTTTTTCTTTCAAGGTTTTTGCCATATGGCGTGTGCACTTGCTGGAGAGAGACAGTGAGAAGGAAAGTGAGAAATCATCCCTGGGAGTTGGGGGTTGGGGATGGCCACACTGCAATCTCTTCTCCATTTTCCTCCTGGGATTTTGGGCACGTGCACACACATGCCTAGTGTGTTTTAAG